AACTAAGGGCATGTTTGGTGTGGATTGTGGGAAGAGCTTTTTAACTCTAAAAGCACAAGCTGCACCAAACGGATCAGCTTCCTAAAGTGGCTGCAGCTTTTGAGAAGCTCAGCTTCTCACCTTTTCTTTGCAAAGGCTGGAAGCTCTCCTTTCTTACTTCCGCGAGAGCTTCTCGCTTAAACGTTTAATGAAATTGACATGGCATTCCCATTTTGTCCTCACACTTCTTTTTATTTACAAAAAAACCACTATATAAAGGGCCATTTTATAACCTCCTCTTTGTTTCTCGTCTTTCTTCCTTTCTTGTTCTTTGAAGCAGCCGAACGTGCCCTATTCTCCGTCCTTCTTGCCCACCTTCTTCTAAAGCAGATCGGAAACATAAAAGCATCTCAATCGCCGGCCTTCTTTCTCCCTAATTACTTCCAAGCAAAAAACCCATTTCCCCTGTCTTCCTTTCTGTCTCTGTCTTTGAAGCAGCCGACCTCCCTTCTTGCCCACCTTCTTCCAAAGCAGATCGGAAATATCAAAGCATCTCAGTCACCAGCCGTCTTTCTCCCTAACTACTTCAAAGCAGAAAGCCCATTTCCCCTCACTGAAAAATCCCCACCAAAATCCCATTTCTCCTCCTTCTATGAGTGTCCTTCCTTTTCTCTGATTTTTTTTTCCTTTTTTGGTGTTTCTGCTACCAATTTGGTGGTGATGAATGATGCTGGTTGGTTGGTAGTGTGAGTTTTGGTGAAAGCTGTAATTTTTAATCCCTTGTTGCTCCTTCTCTTCTTGCAGATCTGGGCAACACGACGAAGTAGGGCATGGGTCGGTGAAGCCAAACGAAGCAGCAATACCAAAGGGGAGTGAAGCGGAGGGTGTTTCGGCCACAAGACTTTGGATTCTCGAAGCATTGTGCCATTCCATTGTCTTCAATTTCCAGGTACATAAGCAGCACTTGCATTTAATTTTTTTCTTTTTATAGTCTTGATTTTAAGTTTCTTTGGCGTTTGAGATTTCTATGGCTATGATTTGATCCTTTGTTTTGTGTTGATTGATTTCCCCTTGTTTTGTAATTGAAGATTTATGCATGAATTCATAAACCATGGTCATAATTTTTGAATTTGAGTTGTTCATCCAGTTTTAATTTGCGGTTGAGAATGCTATTAAGGGTTCAAACTAAAAATTGGGTATCAAAGATTGAAATAATTTATTGGGTCTGTATGGCTTTTGAGAAAATGAAGAAAATCAATAGAGGGAAATCTAACGTGAAAAGCAAAAGTTGAGGGACACATATTTTTACTATGGTAAGAGATGAGGGGTCCTAGTTTTAGCTCTATTTTTGGTGTTATTATGTGTATCTATACTTCCATTATTCAACATTTGTTTTTATGTGTTTGTAGATCTTGTTTGAAGGCCAAAATTTTTTCAATATATAAGATGGCTGCAAAAAGGTCAAAGGCAGTGTGGGATGCATTTACAACAAAAATTTTCTGTGAGATATGTGTGGAAGAGGTTATTGTCGGTAATCGTCCTAATAGTACTTTTAATAGATTAGGGTGGACAAATGTGGAAAAAAAATTTAATGAAAGAACAAACAAGCATTATCTTTATAAACAACTAAGAAATCGGTGGGATGCATTAAAAAGTGATTGGGTTTTGTGGAATCAACTCTTAAAGCGAGAAACAGGACTTGGGTGGAATCATGAAAAAGGCACAATTGATGCTACTCCTCAACGATGGGCTGAATTGAAAGCGGTTAGTTGTAGTCTTTTATTGTTAATGATTTTTAGTTTTTTGCATGTGACTTTGTTAATTTTAACTTTAAACTTCT